ATGACATACAGAGTAATTCGATATATAAAATGATACAACTACAATGGTTCTTAATGCGTTCTGGGTATATGATTCTTTTTCTTTGTTATCTTTTTTAAAACATTTCTATATTATCGTACTTTCTATATTATCGTAAAATTTAATTTCATTATCATTATAACTGTTTTGTTAAAAATATTTCAGATTATATAGATTTAGATTTATAGATAATAGATTTATAGATAATAGATTTATAGATAATAGATATATAGATAATAGATAAGAGATTTATAGATAACAGGTTTATAGATAATAGATTTATAGATAACAGGTTTATAGATAATAGATTTATAGATAGTAGATTTATAGATAATAGATTTATAGATAGTAGATTTATATATAATAGATTTATAAATAATAGATTTATAGATAATAGATTTATAGATAATAGATAATAGACTCATAGATAATTGATAATAGGTTTATAGATAATAGATTTATTGACGGAGTCAATTTTAATGGGGAGGGGGTGTTACACTCCCCTCCCTCCCAAAGAAGTTTATTTTTAAGGAACCAGTCACTAGATCATATAAAAATTAAACTTTAATTTGATAATTTTTATGTGTGGTATTTTGGATTTCAAGCTGTTAGAAACGTTAAATAGATTTGAAAATATACTTAAATCTTTAACAATTTATCTAAATCTGTTATATATATATATATATATATATATATATATATATATATATATATATATATATATATATATATATATATATATATATATATATAAATATATATATATATATATATATATATTTATATATATATATATATATATATTTATATTTATTTATTTATATATATATATATATATATATATATATATATTTATATATATATATATATATATATATATATATATATATATATATATATATATATATATATATATATATATATATATTATCTATAAATCTATAACCAGAGGCAATTCTACAAATTAAAGGAGAGAGAGAGGGGAGGGGGTAAATCTTTAAGATTTAATCTTTAAGACCAGCTTGAAAGAAATATTAAAATAAAAATTATCAAATTAAAGTTTAATTTTTTATATGATCTAGCGTCATATAAAAATTAAACTTTAGTTCGATAATTTTTATTTTAATATTTCTTTCAAGCCGACTGCATGTCGGCTCATATGCAGGGTTGCATGCAACCCCTCATATACCTTAAGTATCTGTTAAGATTGTTCGGTGTTGATCTGGTCAATTCGATTTTTTGTGATGATTAATCCTAAAAATTAAAAATAATCATTCCATAAAATAAAACAATATACAAAACTAATAATAATGCAGATTCTTCTTGCCCCAGTCATTTGTATATTTTATAAATACAAAAGCTATATATATATATATATATATATATATATATATATATATATATATATATATATATATATATATATATATATATATATATATATATATATATATATATATATATATATATATATATATATATATATACATATATATATATATATTTACAGCAATATATATATATATATATATTAACAGCAAACTTATAAATTATAAACAAAACAAAAACAAAAAAACTTTATAATATCAAATTGTGCAAACAACTAAACATATTTCAAATATTAGTGTTATTTACTATTTATTTTTGACTTAAAAGAAGTCAAAAACATTATGTTTTACATAGAGTACTTATTTCTTTATAGAAGTTAATTTGATCTTTTTTTTCCTTTTTTCTTTTTATTTTTCCATTTCTTAACTTTTAATAGTTATCCAACGTTAGATTTTTTGACCAAAGTTATCAGTTTAAATGAGGAAACGTTTCTTCGGATAGGAATGGAATTGGATAACAATGTTTAAAAATGGAAATAACTTTTTCAATAATTTAGCACAATGGGTATGCGTCGTCTGGGGGACGTATGTTGGACGTCTGGACGTCCGCGTAAAGTCAGACGGACGTTCTTCGGAAATCGCATGCCCACTGGGAGTGTGCTAGTATTTTGAATTCTGACTAAATTTTGTGAAAACATCTGTTGTCATTTTTAAAACACTTGTAAATACTAAAAACCATGGCCACATTATTACACCATCTTGAAAATTTTTACACCATCTTGAAATTATTGCACCATCTTGAAAATTGAGGAAGAACTTTCAAAGTTTTATTGCCTTTTTATTCTTTTTGGAATACAGTTTTTATTTTCAATACAAATCTCAATTTTAAGTTAGTAACGCTGAGTCATTTTTACTTTAAAATTTTTACAAATGTCGAGTTAATAAACATTAGAAGTCTTCACAATCATAAATAATTAATGAGAATGTGAGAAATAAATGTCAATATATATTATACTGGTGACAATAAAAAAGTTAAAATTACTGTCGCTTATTTCAACTTGCTTTGCTTCCCCAAGCAATACTTGCATAGCTTATATAACTATGTTTAATGAGGTAATGGAATGATAATAATCTTGTTTTATCTAAACAATTTGTCTCGAATCGGATTTCAACTTTATACTGTCTGTATTAGCTACTTTAGAGTTAATGGTAAACATTTTCATTTAGAATCTCCTCTCAAATCTTTTTAAAGGTTTGTTCTGATTTCATCAATAAATAACATTGGTTTAGTTTTAAAGAAAATCCATTTTTCGCTCACACTTCGTTTTGTCAATTTTTAAAATCAGTATACCGTATATAAACCAGAGATATGTTTAATTTTTTGTGAATTTCATACAACAGTTCAGTGAATCGCTAATCTAAGGTAAGTAGTACAAAATAAATTTGTGTCACCTGCAAATAAGATGATTCTGATTCTTTCATGACATGGTTTGACAATAATTCTTTCCTGTAGTTTTATTCTTTTATATCATTTAAATTAAAAAGTTAAAAAAAAAGGGCCAGAAAACTGAACTTTGGTTGAACACCACAAGCTAGTTCAATCAGTTCATCTACTTGTAAAGTTGTAATGGAAAAATTGCAGTTGCATTTGAGTAATTGGAGAAAAATTTCAGAATTTACAGTAATAAATGCTTTTTGAGTGATAATTGTTTTTTGTGTATGCAGCTTCCATCAAAAACTTAACTAAAAACGTTAATAACTAAAAAAGCTATAAGCTAAAAATAACTATCAATAAAAATAATGATTATAAAAAAAAATAATTAAAAAACGTTAATAACTAAAAAAATTACTAAAAAACTTTAATAACTTAGTTAGTGGCGGGATAGCTCAGTTGGTTAGAGCGTCAAACGAAAAGTTAAAATCCGGACTGTTGAACGATACGAGTTCAAATCCTGTCACCGCCAACTCAGCGCTTGAGTAGTACTTCGGGACGCAAAAATGTTGGTCAACGACGGACGCTACTTTGGATTAGTCTTAATGACTATTTGTGGCTGTTCCTATGCTAAGCCAACAATATCTTCGGATATAAGAAAAATATAGCATGAAAATTCAAAAAAGAAAAAAAGAAAAAAAATAGGTTTGCCCAAATTAAAATAAAAAAGTTCAACTGTTTTATAACTTAAACTATGTTTGGCCAATTTGGCAAAATCTGCAAGTTTAGTGACTTTAGATTTTTTTAAAATCAGCAATATGGCTTTAGCTGAGGTTAGAAAAGAGTTTTAGGTAATAAACTAATGAACTGTAAAATCTCCATGTATTTTTTAAGCAAAGCTTTGAATTTTCTATCATTTTCCGCTCCGTTTCTCTACCATTTTTTACTTTTTAGGAGCAAAGAGTCAACAATTCAAAACCATTACAAAAAAATCAGCTCTATTGACTGGAGTACAATTTAATCGTTTACAGAAAAAGCGTAAAAAGACAAAGCATTTATCCACTTTTTCTTTTTAAGTTTTATTTGTACTCCAAAAAAATTCTAATTGTACATGCTAAAAACTCAATATTAATTCAATTCAAATGTTAATTTATTAAACACTTGATGCAGTCATTTGGATCAAAAACTGATTAACAAGTGAAAATATTTGGATCATTTGTCATGTTAAAAAAATATGTTTACTATAAGAAAATAAAGTTTTGAAGAAAAAAGTCTTTGATAAATATATTGTGGCACTGAGGATGAAGTTTCCTCTACATTAGTCCACTTAAGACATTAGACTTAATTTTAATTGGATATTACAGCACCGTAATTTTATTTTTTTTCTGCCCTCCCCGTTTGTTTTATATATATATATATATGTATATATATATATATATATATATATATATATATATATATATATATATATATATATATATATATATATATATATATATATATATATATATATATATATATATATATATATATATATATATATATATATATTTGTATTAAAGATTATTATATTTCTTATATTTTATTAAGAGATCAATTTATAAAAAACTTAAAGTATAAAAATGATTTTGTAATGGTTATAAGTTTTTTTTTCTGGCATAAACTTTTTGAGCATGTTGTCGGTAAAATACTTCACGGTAACATTGACAACAACTTGTAAACTTTTTTTGTGTAAAAGCGTGAAAACACAATATAAAAACTTTTTATATTGTATTTATTTTTATTTTAAAGGTGTCTTAAATCCTAAAATATTTATGCAACATGCCAAAAGGATGTTCATCTTTTCTTGTATCTCTTGCTATGCTACATTTGCACAATTTTCATCCTGATTTTTGGAAAGTGCAGTATTTTTTTCGTGGTATTTATCAAACACATTTTTGTTTTTCTCGTTTATTATGTTTTTGTTTGGATTTTTTCTTAATGAGGTGTGTCTTGTGAAAATATTTCGCAATAACGTTTATTACGAACGCTTATCTCACTAAGTCACGTTCTGAAACCCATTTGGTGTAAACATAAAAAACAAAGTAAACAGTTAAAAAAAAAAAATATTACTAGAATAATGAAAACAAATGTTATTTATTATTAAATAAGTTCTTTTATTCATTTTTATATGATTTACTTCTGATTTATTTCGCTTTTGTTTTCTACTTGTGTTAAAAGAGTTTTTGAATTTCAATAAAAATAAATTAATAGAAAATCTTCCATTGAGATTAACTTTTAGATTATTTGATGTAAATTGTGTTGGCATATTATTATTTTAGTTATCTTACCTTGTACACAAAATTTAAAGACCAATTTTATCGTTTTTATTTTTGAATTGTTTTTGGTTATCTGTTTTTAAAAATTTTTAAAGGTTTATGCACCTTCTTAAAAAAATGAGATAAGCGCTATGATTAAAAAAGTCTGATTCGGTATGAATTATGCAAGTGAGTTACGCAATAATAACTACTACTTAGGAAAAGTTTAACTAGTTTGCGATTTTTGTGTGTACGTGGTTTGAAAAAAGGTAAGATTACAAATTAGCCATGTTTGTGCGAACTGGAACCGTCAAAATTTCAAGGTCTCTTTCTAATGTCTCTCAAAATTCTCCTGAAAAAAAGTTGTTCAATCAGCAAAAAAAAAAAAAAGAAAGTTTTCAATGTAGCTTTTTAGCGCATCATATTAATGCTATCCGCATTGGAGGTTTAGTTCTTCATCAACAAAGAGTAAAAATATGTGTTCGAGGTACACTTTTCGAAACATTTGAAAGTACTCTCGGAAATTTCCCAAATACATTACTTGGAAATATTTCCAAAAGAAACACTTACTTTGACGAATTACGCGGTGCTTACGTCTTTGATAGATGTGTTAATTCATTCGATGCCGTATTATTTTACTATCAATCAAAAGGAACTCTTGCTAAACCACCTTTAGTAACAAGAGAACAGTTTTATGAGGAACTCAATTTTTATGAGATTGATGGAGTAATAGATGAACGACACATGGAAGATTTGTATTTTTTAAAACAAAACGACAAAAAAAATGGGGATCTACCTAAAGGGTGTTTTCGCTCAACTGTATGGAAGTTTGTAAACTTCTTCAATGATAACTTCCTCCAAACAGCTTACACATATGTTAATTTACTAATAACTTTGCTTTCTATTACTGCCTTCTGTTTAGAAACTGAACCATCATTGCAGTTTGCCAAGATTTGGATTTATATAGAAATAGGAACAGGAATCTTTTTTGGTATTGAATTTATCTTCTTCGTTTACTCGTGTCCAAACATCTTCCAGTTAAGACGTTCTTTAAATGCACTGATCGACTTAGCTTCAGTTATTGTTAACGTGGTTTATATTTTTCTTTACTTTTTGGTTGGTAATAAGGTGACTGTGCTGATACGATTTTTTAGGGTAATACGCGTTTTCAAGCTAACAAAGTTTAGTATGGCGTTGAGGCTGTTTATTTATACGCTATACAAATGCAGTAATTTTCTTCAGATTATATTAGTGACTGGGGGGACTTTGAGCTTTGCATTTGCTGCTTTTATTTTTATATTAGAAAATCAGTTTAACAAATATAAGGAAGAAAGCGCTTTCAGAAGTATTTTTGATGCTATGTGGTATGCTGTTATTTCAGCAACTGGTGTTGGTTATGGAGATATACATCCAACCACTGCTTTAGGAAAAGTTTGCGGTGCATTTTTATTAGTTACAGGCATTTTGCTATTTTGTCTACCCCAGCCTGTCTTAGTGAACCAATTTATATCGGTTTATTACTTACCAGAAATAATGTGCAACAAAGAAACTTTAAGAAAAAATGCCATCATGAAGATGAGGCAAACAATGCTTGGAGAGGTGTAATATCGCGTAAAATATTTAAATTTTTCAGTTAAAAAGTAAAATAAAACATTATAAAGTTGAAAAACTAATTTAAAAAAAGAGTTATTTATGAGTTGTTATGCAAATTTCCTAATAATAAAAATGAAAGAGAAAATTTTTGTTAAAATGTTTTTTATATTATTTCAGCAATATTTATATATCAGTATCAATAAAAATGAATAAAAGTATACAATTTATGTTTAATATTAGGCGTAATTGTATTATGAGGAATAATGTTTCAATCTTTGGAGAAAATATATATATCTTGTGGCGCAAGAACAAGCTACATGTAGAACAATTTCAATGTATTTCTTTTAAGGGCAGAGTTATTCTTTCTCTCTCCCTCTCAATAACCTAAGTAAAATTTGAAATCGATACTTCTAATTAAACAAGTTACGTTTGAATATATCAAGATTTTTTTATTGCATTTATTATTAAAGGAAGTGTGTCTAGTATTTTTGCTTTGTACTGAGAGGATTTGGCATTTTTAAAGTTTTTGAAACATCATTAAAATTGTGGCGTATGGCGTACACCCATTAAAATTGCTCAATATTTGCAAAAACTGCATTAACTGGGTATACACAAGATTTAAAATTTTTTTTTAATAAATTGCTGCTTATTTGTCAATAATTAATTAGATAAAGAATAAAGTTTTATATGCAATTTTTTTTTCCTACTCGCGTTTTTAGCAATGTAAAAAGTACTTTTTTTTTTAGAAATGACAAAAAATTAAATATTACACAAGAACAAGTAGTTTCACAAAAGTAATGAAAATATTTGGAGAGAAAATCAATAAACTTAAATAAAAAGATTAAAAAAATTTATCTCGTAAGAAAGAAATTATTAAAACAAAATAATGACGAACATTGTAAACTTAGCAGAGAATTGAGTAAATTTAAAGAACCAAAAATATGAATAATGCTTCAAAAAAATAAAAAATAAAAAAATTGATTTAAGGACAAACTTTCAGATTTGATGGTTCTAAAAAAAAACTTGGACAAAGTTTTTTTTAGTAAAGCACTGAACTTGGAATAAAAAAAAAGACATTCAAGTATTGAGAGCAACAGAATAACTCATAACACAAAGTAAAAAGAGAAATCGTGAGCAAATCTGAAACTTAAAAGACAAAGAAAAAGTTTTAGAAAAACATAAAAGTCTTAATTTGTGGAATAAAAAAAAAATACGCATATAAAGATTTTAGTCAGCAAAAACCTAAAAAAGAAAGAACTTCGAGCTGAAGGTATGGGTATGATGGTATGAGGTATGAGTTTGAGGGTATGAAGTATGCTAAAGTAATATACAACAAATCCATTACACGCACTTAGGAGTTGAAATAAGAAATTCCTATTCGATTTTTGATTCTATGCTCTATCTCCATCACTTTATGCTCTCCATCATTTCATGCTCTATCTTCATCAAAAAGTTTTAAATAATTAATATTCGGAGTATAAATAAAGGTTTTGAAAAATCACGATTTCAAAATAATTTGTCTTAGCGAGATAGTGTAAATTTGACAAGTATAGTTTACAAATAAAAAACAACGTATCAGTTAATCAGCCATGAGACTTCCGTGCTGGTTGACGATTTTATATAACTCCATTAATTTTCTTCACGTAATGACCTCAGTGTAAATGAAAAAGATTGTGAGTCATTATAAACAAAAACTAATATTCATAATTGTTAATGCTATTTATAGAGAAACAGCGGGTTAGTAAATAAAACAAAATGAAAACAGAATGTCGGCGGTTGTCGGCGGTTGTCGGCGGCCTGAATATTAACCTTTTAAACTATGCGTCAATACTCTTATAAAAATTAATCTTAATTTAAGAATTAACCAAACCAACAAAAAGCGCAAAAAGTTTGTCTTCTCGGTAAGACATTTGCTAACAAATTCTGCTCGATAAGATATTTGCTAATAAGTTTTTAAAAAACTGTTTTAGTACCAAAGAGGTATAATAGACTAGCTGTAGCGAGAATGAAACCGAAAATGGCTTTAAATTGTGTTACAGTCTTTGAAGTCAAATATTCCGCAGCAAGTCAAAATGGCGATTTCCAGCGAAAAAGGAAAAATTTTGAAATGCAGTTTGTAAGCTTAGAAAGCTGTAATTGAAACGGATTATTCTATTAAAAGTTGACTTGATAATTTTTTAATAACTGTTTGAACTTTTAAGAAGCAATCACAACAAAAATCCATAAAGTATTTTGTATATCTAGGTATAAATATCAAAGTTTTAGACATAAAACTTTGATAGGTTTAAACCTTATCTGTTGCTTTTTTGAAAAAGGACTTATTAAATCCCTTCAGGATTTTAATTTGTGTTGTAGTATTTTTTGCTGGATTAAAAAACAGATAATTAAATAAACATTTTAAATATTGGAATATAAAATGCCAGTTCGGCATCTAGAAAAAATGCCAAACAACACATTTAATAATTCAGTTTTAATAGCTATAAATTTAGTTTTAAATCAGTTTCTTTATCAGTGTCTACCAATTTTTCAGAACTTTTGTTTTTTATATGCAATGCTTTGATTGCCTATGAGATTTTAAAACAATAGGGGAGAGTGGGAGAAGTGAGACACGTACATTTTTTTTAGGGTAATTGCAGTATCATTTTTATTTGATGTATAAACTGAACCAAACAAGTTTTTACGAATAAACCTTCTTTTTAGGCACCGATTCAATCCACATAGGTTTGCAGCAAATTTTAACTAAGTATATAAATTTTTTCACCAATCGAAATAATCAAATTGTGACAGGAAGAAGCTAGACATAAATATTTATTATTTCTGTCCCACTTCACCCCAATGTAAACACTTTTTTAAGGTACATTTCAAAATTAGAATTTCTAGCGCACGCAGGAAACAATTTCTGCTAAATAGAGGAGAAGAAATTTAATTGTTTACATTAAACAACAGTATTTAGGCACCACTCCTAATTAGAGATTTCAGGCTGTCCCATTTCTACCGCGTCCCACTTCAATACACTCTCCCCTATCATAGCCTATGACTCATAGGATATTCGGTGATTCATAGGATAGTTTTTTTAAAGGTGGAATGTGATTGTTAAACTTTAAGTTATAACAGTAGGTATTTCATTGAGAATTATGTTACTACAAAGTCGGTTCCGTAAAAAATGACATAGTTTTACTTTTTTTCCTCCAGTATATTATACCTCTTTAGTTTAAAGTAAAAGTTAGAAAATGGAAAATATGTTCGAAATCTCTTCCAAAGAATTAAACTCGATGTTTAAGAAAATGAAAAACTTGTTCAAACTCTCTTCTAATAATTAAACTTGATGATTATGTTTTTATAAACATTATAAACTTTATCTTATAAACATAAATGAATTCAATTTATAAACATAATTAAACTAAGTGAAATTGCAAAGGAATTCAAAATTTTTTTTAAGGTTATTGGCTGACAAGAGTTTTATCACAAAAAATTATATTAATGGTTTTTAAGAGCCTATAGATATTTGTTTATATTGATAATTTATTTTGAATTTAGTTTTTTGATGAACTTAAGGGAGAAATAATACGAGTGCAATTGAGCTTCTATTTAAAAATAAATTTAATAAAAACATTGACAAACCAACATGGATCTTATTCCACAAAAATTCTAGATGATCACAAGATCTTATTATGAAGCCCAATACAATCTATATCACAACAAAAATACAATATTTTTCATAATCTATATAATAAAAAAATTAATGTATAAATCAAAACAATTAAAATACTAAAAATAGATAAGTCTATTTTACAGAATACGATAAATAAGTATATTTTGTAGATTGATAATTAGATAAAACTATTTATTGCAAAGAATTTAACCACCATAAGAAATATAACCAGTCATTTTTCATTTTAAAATATAAAACAACGTAACTAATTGTTTATAGCTATTTATTTTTTTACAAAAAGTTTTAAAATGACAAATAAGGTAATAATCTTAATATTTTGTAATGCAACCCTTTGCTACAACAACGGTTTCCAGGCGTCGGGGCAGACTTTCTATGCAGACTTTTGCTGTGTTCTGGAGTCTGGGGTTATTATGCCACTCTCTAATAAAGTTTCTATCAATAGCTTTTTAATAGTGATGATCTCTTTGGCAATTTTCCATTTTTCAAACGCTATAAGAGTTTGCATTTTTTAATTTGAATTTCTATGGGACTCATGTTAAGTGAATTACCCAGCCAAGGCAAAATGTGCACATTTTTTTCAGGTAGGAATGCTTTAAGACTCTTAGTCTTATGAGACGGTGCCGAGTCATTTATGAACATATACACTTCATTATCAGAGAACCATTCTTGGACCTGGGGCAGAAGTCTGTATTCCAGTACTCACTTGTACTGGTCCTGGCTCATAGTCCCTTCCACAATGTAGAGGGAACCAATACCCATGGCTAATATCACAGACCACACCATTATACTCACGGAATGTTTAATCTTTTCCATAAGTCAGTATCCACTCAGATTTGAAATGTTGACACGTCCGTGAAGCAGACCTGTACAACATTACAAAGATATTTTAAATTATTAATCTATATTTTTTTAGGGTTCTTACAATATTATTAGTCATATTTACTCTACCCAAGACTTTAATTGTTATTTTCTCGTGTTTCCTAGCCCATTCCAGTCGTTTTTTTTTTAATGGCTTCAGTTAAACGTGGTTTTTTGGTTTGACGACGACCCATTAAATTCTCTTCAGTCAACAGTCACCGAACCGTCCTTTTGGAGACGTTGATTCCTTCATTGTTTATCATTGTAGCTAGTTGAGCCACACTTTTTCTTCTGTTTTAAGACAGATTTAAGACAGTCCTTAATTTTACAGTCACAGCGCAGAGCAATGATCTTTTTTCTGCCACTTCTGCCAACGCAGTCTGGTTCTAGGTTGTTCTGGTTCTAGGGGCACATTTGTATCAATTATTTCTTTGATTCGGTTCGCTACTGAATTTTAAGCACTTGTAATTGCTTTTATCTTTCTCTAAGAATGTGTACAATGAAGAAGTAAAGTTTTTACTTTCCTTTATATTCTTTGGGTTAAGTCTGAAGACTTGCCTATACTAAAAAAGTCAATGAGAGGTGAGAATAGTTACGGATCAGGATTTATGCATTAAAATTAGCAAAAATAATGAGTTATTAACCATATCTAATTAAAGTAATTACCAATACTTAGATTTTTACATTCCTAAACTCAAAAAACTTGCAAAAAATTATTCCAAAAATGAATAATTGAACTCAGTTTTGAACTAATTCCAAACACACTTTTCAACAATTGACAGCTAAATGAGTAATAAGCTAACTTTTTGACAAATATGGTGAGCTTAAAGTATTGCCACTATTTAAAAACAATAATAATGGTATCTGTATCTAAAATACTCAAGAGAAATTATTTAAAAACATTATATTTGCTCGAAAAATTCATTTAACTTAAAAATTAGTAAAAAAGTAAAGTGTCACTTTTAATTTGGCCACCCACTGTATACATATATATATATATATACAAGGCCGGCGCGATAGGGGGGTGTGGGGGTGTGACACTTCCCCATCA